AGGAAGTGGTACATATGAAGTAAGCTGACCTTATTATTCTAAACTCAGATCGTCCCACACACTTTGATACACGCATGCAATTTTTTTCATGCATTGACCTCTCTCCATGCTCCCCTTCTCTTCATTTAGATTTCCACTGGTCAGTTCTAGACCACTTTCCCCATAGTGACCACTTTCCAGTTCTCCTTTCTCCTACTTCATATGTACCACAAGGGGATAATCGTGGTATAAGGGATTCACGTGTGTGTCCAGGAGGGAGTGGAAGGGATAGAGGGGATAGTGGGAGGGTTAATGTGAGCGGGGCTGGAGTCAGGGGGGGATGGACTGTGTTGGGAGGGGGTAGGAGGATAGGGTGTAGGGGGGATATCGTTAGGAGGAGGATGGATATCGGCAGTCACTTGGTGTGTGGAGGGAGCAGGAGTTGTAGGATTTGAAGGTTGATGAATGTCAGTTTTCATGAAGTAGTCTGGAATATTTTCAAGAGTTTCTTCAATGGAGTTGGTTGGGGAGTTTTGTGAGATAAAGGATTTCTTGTGAGGGGGGGGAAGAGAAGACTGGTGTCTCAAGAGTAGGGGCAAAGGAAGGTGGAGGTGATTGTGTGGTAGGAGAAGAGGGGGTGGAACGTTTGTTCTGTCTGTTGCGGGTAGTGCGGAGAGGGAGAGGGGAAGGTGTTGGGGTTGTAGTGGAGATTGGAGTGTCTGTAATAGAGATTGGAGTGTCTGGATTTAGGATGGCAAGAGAGTTTGACTGGGGAAGGTAGGAGGTAGAAGAGGGGGAGTTAGATGGAGGGGAGTTAGGTTTAGGAGAGGGTGTAGGAGCTTGGGAGGTAGGGGAAGTGGTAGAATGAGCGATATTACTGGAGTAGGGATTAAGAGAAAAACCTCGTCGACGTGCTTCCTGTCTGGCTTCACGTAGAGTGAGTCCAAGTTTGAATCTGAGAGTTGCTACCTCAGACTCAAATTTGTAGGTGGGGCAGCCCCTATAAAATACATTATGAGGGCCACCACAGTTGGCACATGTACGTGATTGTGCAGAGCAGTTTGATCGAGTATGGCCAGGTTGGGCACATAGTGGGCATCTGGCTGTGGAACGGCAATGTTTGGCTGGGTGTCCTAAACGCCAACAATTTTGGCACTGACGAGGAGGTTGGTATGGTCGGACAGGGAGGGATTCTCCACCTATGTAAACATAGAAGGGAAGGTCATGTCAACGGCAAGTAATTTTGGCGATGTTAGTGGGTTTCTTACGATGACCTCTGGGAGGAATGGAGTAGCATTGTACTGATGTCGCATCATAGCCTGTGAGACAGGCGAGTAAGTCTTCTCCACAATCTGACCAATCTTTGTCATAGATTGGGCAATTGGCTAGGGAGATTGAAACAGTTCCGGTGCAAGTATTGAGGGTTGGATGGGGTTCTGCAAGGATGGGGTTACCATATAGATCAGTTAGTTTTGCTAATGCTATAGCTTGGTTTTCAGATGTTACTGGACGAGACGGGAGCGGTCGGGTCGGCTACGGAGAGACTTTGCCTACTTGTTTTTGGAGACATTGCTGGAAGAGAAGGGTGTTGTCAGAGTAGGGAGCTGTGGGAGGGATCACGAAAAATCGGTCCCATTTGGCTGGGCTAAATAGAGTATTTAAGACTGTTGTAGAGATAAGGGTAGTAGAAGGGCGGGGGCGTGTCGAAGAGGGAGTAGTGTTGAGGGAGGTAGTGTTATGGAGAGGTGGGCAATAAGGCTGTAAGGTATTAATAAGGGAGGATGGGGTAGTTGATGTAGAAGGTTGTGGAGGTAGAGGTGTTGAGCATGATGGGAGAGTAGAAATGTCTCCAGGGGGTTGAGTGTTGACTACTGTAACTGGAATCGGGAGGATTTGAATTGTTGGGGCTATTTGATGAAGGGGCAAGCCTCGTTGCCCCTAATAGTGGAATTACGTTTTCATTATTGGCCATGGTAAGCCTGGAGTATGTTGGGGAGAAAAACAGTCCACCCCTCAGGGTCCCCTTGAGGGGTAAGGGCTAGGCCTAAGCAGGAGAATACCGTGCCCATGGCTCCCTCAAGCCGTTCAGGACTGGCTCAAAGTCAGCCTTTCATCCTTTCAGCACGGCTCTCACACCTTAGGAGGTGGATAGTAGAAGGGATTGGTGAAGGGACAGAAACGTAAAAGTACGAAGGGAAAAAAGGCCATGCAAAATTAGCTGAGTTGAGGGCTGAGTCCCAAGGTTTGGGAGTTCCCTGTCATTGGGTCCCAGTCTCCGCCTCCTAACCCCCCCACGACAACAACGGGCAAGGGATTGGGGGGGGTTAATGGTTAATGGTTAATGGTTAAAAGCAAGATAAATGTGCTAGACATCTAAGGTCATGTAGCACTATAGTTAATGTTAGTGAAGGGTGGTTGAGTTAGTGATTAGTTGTCTAAGCTGGGCAAAGGAATTAGTGAGTGAAAGGGTTAAGGTCAGGTGTTATATTAGATAAAGGGTATGCATAAGAAAGGTTTCTTGAAGGCATACAATAGATGGGTTATAAGAGGAAAGGATATGATGGTCAGGTCTGTGGGAGCGGAAACCGCGAATATTCCAATGAAGGATAGTTATACTTTCGTTGATTTAGTGATATAGATTGTAGTACGTGTTGGAGAATTTGAAGGGGAAGCAGCTAGAGGGTGGGATAAGGACTGAGAGGTTTGAGATGGGAGAGGTGTGGGAGTTGGTGTTCTATCAGGAGGGGTAGTAGGAGATGGAGGGTCTGAGGAAGGGGATACTTGTGACATAAGGGATTCACGTGTGTATCCAGGAGGGAGTGGAAGGGATAGAGGGGATGGTGGGAGAGTTAATGTGGGCAGGGTCAGGGGGGATGGGCTGTGTTGGGAGGGGGTAGGAGGGTAGGGTGTAGGGGGGATATCGTTAGGAGGAGGATGGATATCAGCAATTACTTGGAGTGTGGAAGGAGCAGGAGTTGTAGGTTGAGTGTCGGTTTTCATTAAGTAATCTTGAATATTTTCAATAGTTTCTTCTGTGGAGTTGGTTGGGGAGTTTTGGGGGATAAAGGATTTCTTGTGAGGGGGGGAAGAGAGGACTGGTGTCTCAAGAGTACGGGCAAAGGATGGTGGGGGTGATTATGTGGTAGGGGAAGAGGGGGTGGAACGTTTGTTCTGTCTGTTACGGGGAGTGCGAGGAGGGAGAGGGGAAGGTGTTGGGGTTGTAGTGGTGATTGGAGTATCTGTAGTAGAGATTGGAGTTTCTGGATTTAGGATGGCAAAAGAGTTTGACTGGGGAAGGTAGGTGGGGTTAGTGGGGGGGTTAGATGTAGGAGGGGTGGGTTTAGGAGAAGTGTTAGGATGAGCAGTATTACTGGAGTAAGGAGTAAGAGAGAATCCACGTCGACGTGCTTCCTGTCTGGCTTCACGCAGTGTGAGTCCGAGTTTGAATCTGAGAGTTGCTACCTCAGATTCAAATTTGTAGGTGGGATAGCCCCTATAAAATACATTATGGGGGCCGCCACAGTTGGCACATGTGCGTGATTGTGCAGAGCAGTTAGATCGGGTATGGCCAGGTTGGGCACATAATGGGCATCTGGCTGTGGAACGGCAGTGTTTGGCTGGGTGTCCTAGACGCCAACAATTTTGGCACTGACGTGGAGGAGGTTGGTATGGACGAACAGGGAGGGATTCTCCTCCTATGTAGACGTTAAAGGGAAGGTCATGTCTACGGAAGGTAATTTTGGCTATGTTAGTGGGTTTCTTTCGATGACCTCTGGGGGGGATGGAATAGCATTGTACTGATGTTGCATCGTAGTCTGTGAGACAGGCAAGTAGATCTTCTCCACAATCTGACCATTCTTTGTCATAGATTGGGCAATTTGTTGGTGAGATTGAGACTGTTCCGGTGCAAGTATTGAGGGTTGGATGGGGTTCTGCTAGGATGGGGTTACCATATAGGTCAGTTAGTTTTGTTAGTGCTATGGCTTGGTTTTCGGATGTTACTGTTACAAGACGGGAGCGGTCGGGTCGGCTACGGAAAGAGACTTTACCTACTTGTTTTTGGAGGCATTGTTGGAAGAGAAGGGTGTTGTTAGAGTAGGGAGCTGTGGGAGGGATCACGAAAAATCGGTCCCATTTGGCTGCACTGAAGAGAGTATTCAAGATTGTTTTAGAGATAGGGGTGGTAGAAGGGCGAGGGCGTGACGAAGATGGAGTAGTGTTGATGGAGGTAGTGTTATGGAGAGGTGGGCTATAAGGCTGTAAGGTATTAATAAGGGAGGATGGGGTGGTTGATGTTGGAGGTTGTGGGGGTAGAGGTGTTGAAGTTGGGCATGCTGGGAGAGTGGAAATGTCCCTTGAGGGTTGATTGTTGGCTACTCTGTACTAGTAGGCATTGGTGAAGGGGTAGTTATTGTAGTGTTTGGAGCCTGTGGTCAAAGGAGAGCCTGGGGTCAGGGAATCGGGTGGGTTTACTTCGTTGGGGCTATTTGATAAAGGGGCAAGCCTCATTGCCCCTAACATTGGGGATATATTTTCATTACTGGCCATGGGAAGCCTGGATTATGTTGGGGATAAAAGCAGTCCACCCCTCAGGGTCCCCTTGAGGGGTAAGGGCTAGATAACTAAATCAGGGGAATACCGTGCCCATGGCTCCCTCAGGCCGTTCAGGACTGGCACAAAGTCAGCCTTTCATCCTTTCAGCACGGCTCTCACACCTTAGGAGGTGGATAGCAGAAGGGTTTGGTGAAGGGACAGAAACAAAAGTGGGAAGGGAAAAAAAAGACCATGCATAATTAGTTGAGTCGAGGGCTGAGTCCCAAGGTTGGGGAGTTCCCCATCATTGGGTCCCAGTCTCCGCCTCCTAAGCCCCCCCACGACAACAACGGGCAAGGGATTGGGGGGGGGGGGGGGGGTTGGGGGGGGGAGGTTTTCAAAATCAAAAACTTGTATTAATATGACCTTTTACGTTTCCTTTAAAACCACAAAAGAAGATATAAGATTGAGGAATTGATTAAACAAACTTCAGAATGGTATTAATTTATTGCAAAAATACTTATCTTACACAACACTTTTAACAGATACTCTACCTTATAAATCTTAGACAATGGAATGGTATGGACGGAATCCATTACAAAATCTGGCAGATTTTACTCAGATCATCTGAGTGAAGTACTTTTATTTGTGGAATGTTACAAAGCATACATCTCTTACAATTTTAACAAGAATTATAGAGGAAGTTAGTTAGAAAAACACACATCTCTCATCAAACACTGAACTTACTTTGTTTTTTTTTGTAATGTACTCTGAAATGTGCCTTTTAAAAATACTAGAGACCTTCCCAAAAATTAACAATAAACAAAAAATTACATATTAACAATGAGTTGGAAATCCCTGTCATTTTCTTTCCTACCACAAGTCATATTCAGCATTAAGTCTGGTAACAGTGAAAATTAACACATTGTGCGCAGATGGCATCACATACATGCCATGGCCACTATAATTTAAAGTTGAATAATTCTGTTTACACACACATCCCTCTACAAGTGCTTAGTTACCAAGTCAAATTATTAGTCCTATCCACCATACATGTTTACCCTTTTCCTCGGTTTTTGTAAAGATTCTTTATTATCTTTTATTGTTATTAGTACTTAAATGCAATATAGTAACAATATCACCAAAAATCATCATAACAGTGTTGATATTAACATAATAATATTCAATTGTGCCTTGAACTCTTTCCTCTATTACCAACTTACATCATTAACTTTTTGTGACAAAGTAATTAACATATGTAGCAACTGACATTTAACAAAATTTAATGTCACTTGGGGGAAAAAAAAATAATAATAAATAAAAGCTCATCTCACAAACCAAAAGGATATTAGACAACAAATACAGATACATATGAACTACAGTTCATATATCAAAACCTTTTGGATAATGCGTGATCTAGGATAGCATCACTATTTTTACTTTTATTTATTTGGTTGGATAACAAATAATACTAATCAAATATTTATGTAAATGGATGCAAAATATGAGCTTTCATAAATTGATTTCTAATTGGCACATTTTCCAAGTATTAACATATTAGACATTACCAATAATGTAAACCGGAAAAAAAAAAAGAAAAAAACAAACAAACATCCCAACGATGCTGGCCTTTGAAATGCACGTCACAAACCACATGTATACAAACAGGTTAAGAAGAAAATTCTATCATCATAAAAATGTCCGAACTTACAGGACCTAAGTATGGTACTTGCTGTTCTCAGGTGTGTGCGCACAATGGACAAAACATACTAAGTTGTGATAATATTAATAATAAAAAAGGTCCATATTACACAAGAAAAAAAGAGAAACAGAAGAGAAGACAGAACATGAACCCCCTAACTTTGCTGTCTTTTTGGGGTAAAGAGCAGTAACTTTGTTGAAAACGCTTTTATAAAGTCAACTTCACAGCCATTTTTCCTATGCGGCAGAACATTTACTTCTTCAATTCCTCGATCTGAAGAAATTACAATACTGTACTTCTTCAAGTTTAGAAAACATTTTATGAAGTTTAGAGATATATGTCAGCTGACTATAAGATGAGGAAAATGAGTTGTTAATTAATGCACTTATATATTTTACATTTTCCTTTGAACTGATGTCTGTTTAAAAAATGTCTAGATATGTTCTTCTACAGCAGAAATTTCACAAAACATCAGCTCCATTTCATTTCAAAACTCAATACTCCCTTTAGATGTTGCTGCCTCACATAGTTGTGCAAAGTGGTCTTGGGATTATGAATATAGAAATTATTTAGTATATTATTCTCTATACAATATACACATTAACTCAGAGGCAGATACCAGTTACATATTGCTATCAGATAATATGGTACTGATAACTTTAAATATATAACTTTGCTAACAAGAAACATTATGTTAACATACATAATTTAATAGACTGTTCGTTATAAAATACATTTTGGTATAAAATAATTTTCAAATGATACCTAGAAATCACTTCTAGCCTTTCAAGTTTAAAAATTGCATTATTCCTTCTTTCAATACCATGAACTATCCAGAAAAGTCTAAAACTCAAAAAAAGTACTTTCTTATGAAAATAGAACAGAATTTGCAGAAAAGAGAAATATACCTTATACAAGACCTAATGGACCTGACCTCACTTCTGAAACTTATACTGCTGTCTACTAAAACTAAGCATAATGGAAAACCCATATGGGACTTTGGTTTTGGAGTTGCCATCCTTGCCAAACTGGATGTCTTTCCGTACACCAACTATGGTCCACCTTGCAGAATCAATACCTGAGCTCCAAACTGGAATCAAGGATGGACTGGCTGACAGTGGCAACTCCAGACTTGACATCAACAAGGTAAGATATATGCAACTATTCCAAGATCTTTAAAAAATAATAATAATAAAAAAATAAAAAATCATAAGAACTACAATAATAATAATAATGATGATGATAATAACAATAACTATAACTGTTACATGCTGATTTGTTCAGCAATAAGCTTGTAAAAGATAATTTTGAAAGCAACTCTTGTTTCAACAAAATACTATTTTACAATAGTAACCATTTAAAACCTGCTACTACTTGTAAGTTCTGAATAACATGAAAAAAAAATATGCCATACAAATTTGGCATAATAATAACTCTTCCCTAAGAGATTCCTATACATCTTCAACAACAAAAGGAACAACATTCCTTTTACACTGTTAATTTTTCATATATGTTTTCAGCTGTATCAAAATGGACGGAAATTCACTTGAAAGATAAAAGATAACAAAATCCTATTTTCTCCAAGTATATAAAAGACACACACAAAAAAATAATTTTACATGGACATACCTAACATTCAGTATCAACTCCTATCACAGGAATCCCTCCAGCTTCTCTCCTTATAATCTCATCCAAACGGAAGCTACCAGAGCAGCAGCAACGAGAGAAAAGCTGACAGTCAACGTGGATGAGCCATTGCATCCGTCAGAGGTGCAATAACACTCCTCCCAGTAGACACCGTTCAGGTCCACACCCCAGTTGCAGACATTTGTCACTCCAGTCTCGGTGACAGAGGAACAGCGGCGGATGACAGTGCGCCAGCGGCCATCCCCTGGGAAAAAATTTAAACAGATAAGTTGGTAGGAATTATAATGTAGATGATGAGAAAAGTTTTAGTAGTGGTATTCATAACACCATAATGACAAGGATGATGATAATAGTTATCATATCAACAATAATTATAAGAACTATAATATCAACAAATAACAGTGATACTATGAGTAAGAACAACAATTAACAAATAATAATAATAATAATAATAATGATGATAATTAAAGAAATCCTGAAAGAAGAAGAAAAAAAATGATAACAATAACAAACAGATTCCTTCTTTTTTTTTCCTAATTCATACCACTGCAGAATTGAAATTATTCAATAAGGTTAAATAAATGTAAAATGCACAATTAAATAAACAATTTTTGAGAGAGAGAGAGAGAGAGAGAGAGAGAGAGAGAGAGAGAGCGAGAGAGAGAGAGAGAGAGAGAGAGAGAGAGAGAGAGAGAGAGAGAGAGAGAGAGAGAGAGAGAGAGAGAGAGAGAGAGAGAGAGAGAGAGAGCGAGAGAGAGAGCGAGAGAGAGAGCGAGAGAGAGAGCGAGAGAGAGAGCGAGAGAGAGAGCGAGAGAGAGAGAGAGAGAGAGAGAGAGAGAGAGAGAGAGAGAGAGAGAGAGAGAGAGAGAGAGAGAGAGAGAGAGAGAGAGAGAGAGAAATATAATATATATATATATATATATATATATATATATATATATATATATATATATATATATATATATATATATATATATATATATATAATAAAATAATAATCATTACCATCATTAATCCAGTGTACCATAAAGTTTCACATTAAAACCAATACACAACAACACCAAAAGAGCCAGACGTATTGTATAAATGAGTACTCACAGATAAACATGCGTGGTGACTGCTTGGTGATTTTGACGCAGAATGTCCCTGGAGTCACAGATTCCTCCTGGAAGCAGTCAACAGGGATGTGGGCTTCCTCGTCAAAGTACTCGTAAGCACCACACAGATCTCTTCCTTCTGGGTCCTCATCAGTTGAGCACTGGTAGCATTTTATTGCCCCGGCTGCAAAGATGGATTTCTGGCATCAGTATATTCTGTATGTCAATGGTTCTTAACCACATGCTGACAAGGAAAATGCTGTGATCATTTTTTATTTTTTTGTGAAATGTCTCTGCACATAGATGGCTCATTATTGGCCCATTGGTGACTTAGTACAAGTGTAGCCATCTCTGTCTAAATACAATTTCTAAAACAAAATCACAGTAAGCATGGCATGTACATACATGCCATGCCCATAGTATTTGAGTTAATAATACAGTAGTGAAAATGGAGTTAATTGTGACTATTGCTGAAAAATATAAAAATGAAATGGAATGATCTTATTATTGTAAGACAACTCAGTTTGGTTTAGGAAATACTTATTTTCCATCACATCTTTTTCATGACGAGTACGAGTACATTCAGCTATATGCATGATCTAAAAGTTCTAACATGTGCATGAAAATTAGGAGACAAGTGTGATTAGTAGGTGATTCACAACCAATCATGTTCAATCATGTAATATCACATCCTAAATTTCCTTGATACAAGTTTTGTATTAACATTTACTAAACATTTCAAAATTTCTTTGACAACAAAAGATTGAAGCAACAACAATCAACTAAAGCTTCTCCATTCTGATTGCCACTAATATCACTGCTATAGTACCATTTATGTAGACTAAAACCTACAAATCCATCACCATCATATTCATCAATATCAGTGAAGTGGAAATTCTGTAAAAAATTTGTGAATTTCTTTTGCTTTATTCCACGAGAATGGTAACTCATCTTTCAACACCTACACCTTGTCCTTAATCTTACTATAGTTTATAATTTCCTAGAGATATAATTTGTTTATGCACAATACAACACAGAAATTGAACTGAAATCAGAGGTTAAGCCATTGCCACTGGGGAAAATGAACAAAAATTGGGGAAAATGCTGTGCCTATTTTCTACATTTTTTTGTGAAATGCTTGCCCATAGATGGCTCTGCTAGCGCCTGATTTGAAATGGTGGTGAAAAACGTATTTTTCGCTAGTGCCAAGAATATCGATTGTGTTATTTTTATTATAAACAAAATTATTATAATGTTTTTTAACATTAGTAACAGCAAAATAAGATAACGTAAAATATTTTGTAAATCAAAGAAAAGGGTGAACGGACGACACAGGTGGTACTCGTAACTAGCTCATTGGTGATTTAGTACAAGTGTAGCCATCTATGTGTGAAAACAATCAAACAAGTAATCTCACAGTGGGTATGGCATGGCATGCCCGTCGGCAATGAGTTAAATAGGAATGAAGACCCAAGAATCAGGATGTAAATGAACAGAAAGTAAAGGTAAGAATCCAATCAGTTAGAACTGCTTGCAGTGTCTCAAATGCCTACTGTGGCCTCCATACCATGTATATTTGGGCAAGATAAAGAGATTGTAGGCCTCCTAATGATTTACTGTCAAATAAGGAAAAAGTGCAAATACTATATATGCTTTGCCAAATATATACAGTAATCTGCACCTATGGCACAAAGGCCACAGCATTCATAGGTCCTCTTATCTCTGGGTTACGGATTGGTCTGTGGTTCGGGAATCACCACTCTCTGCTGAACTTTCCCCCCCCCCCCCCCCCCCCACCATTTTTAACCCCAAAAAAAAAAATAAAGGGAAATAAAAAAAAAGGGGAAAAAAAAAGGGTTTTAAAAAAAAAAAAAAAATTTAGTAAGAATTATTTTTTTTTTATTTTTTTTTTTTTGAGTTTAAAAGTAGGTGATGTGATATATTTTAATTAGATTGGTATTGATATTTAATGTTAGAGGATTTTTGTAGTTGGGGTTGGTAAGAATTATTTTTTTTTTTTTAATTTAAATATTTTAGAAGTTATATTAATTTTGAAAAATATTATTGTTAATTAGTTTAATGTAGTTTTTTATAATGTAAAATTAGTTTAATGAGTAATGATATATATAAATAGAAATTAATAGTTTTGATTAAAGATAATAATGAATAATCCTAATAAATCAAAGTTACAGCAAATTGAATAAAAAAAGAAAAAAAAGAAAGAAAGAAAAAAAAAAACATTTAAAAATTACACAAATAATAAAGTGTTATATATTGTTACTGTTATTGCACTGAGTTGTAGACTACCTAAAGATATGATATGACGTCTGAACAGAAAACAGTATTACTCTCTTGATACTGCATTTTAAATGATAAATGTAGACCTTGGAAAATGGCAAAAAAGCAAAGAACGCTTATGCAGAAAAGATAGATAACATAGTCAAGGGGAGGCAAGGATTCTTGACAATGTACATGAGTATTCATGTGGGCCAGACCTACAAGCTACACCCAGGAGAGTTATCACTCAAGTAAGCCTAATGCCTGGATTTTGGCCCACTTACATAATTGGGTGAAAAGCACTGCATTAACCCAATGCCGCCGGGGAAAATGAACAAAAAATGGGGAAAATGCTGTGCCCACTTTCTATGTTTTTCGTGAAATGTCTGCAGATAGATGGCTCTGCTAGCGCTCGATTTGAAATGGCGGGAAAAATGTATTTTTCACTAGTGCTATAAAAATCGATAGTGTTACTTTTATCATAAATAATTATTATATATAATTATTATAATGTTTTTTAACATTAGTAACAGCAAAATAAGATAATGTAAAATATTTCATAAATCAAAGAAAAGGGTAAACGGGCGAGATGGGCAGTACTCATACCTGGCTAATTGGTGATTTAGTACAAGTGTTGCCATCTATATGTAAAATCAATCAAACAAGTACTCACAGTGGGCATAGCACATACGTACATGTCATACCTGTCGGCATTGGGTTAATATCATCCATAGCAAATAGTTATTTGCTATATATGTTAAGTTTTAAATTTCAACCAACTAATCAAATTTTCTGTTCAATCTTGTACAAGGTATGAGTATCATCAAATGGCCTTGAAAAGTTAAATATCATTGGTAATAATATTCAATCTCTGTGAATTATTAATCCTTTCCCTGGCAATTTATTACCAAATAAAGACTCAGTCCAAACTCCACCTTGCTAGAGTATAAGTGGTGACCCTTGTAGGCATCAGCTGGACTTTTGGAGGAGATGCCATGGCTGTTTGACACTGCCACTATCCAAGCATGCTATTCATAACATGTTTCTTTCTTTGTAATATGGGATAGAAACATCCATCAAAACCAAAACGCACCAAACAAAAACAATTCAGCAAGTAGTCATATAACTGAAGGTTGTGATTGCATCCTTTAGTAAGTCGAACAGTAAAAGAACATTTGAAATAATTTTAATGGAAATATCCACTTACAAAAGTTTACATGTATTTAAAAAAATCAGGACAATCTGGCAAGAGTTCTTTTTACTTT